TTTTCAGAACGCAAATCTTTCAGTGCGCTTGTGATCAATAAAGAGGAAAGGTTTTTATGTCTTCTGTAATCATGAGACCCATTTCCATAATTAAGCTGTGTATGACTAAGCATCTGTTTTCTTCCTAGTTATCTTTCCTTGTTACTTAAAAATAGATCAAACAATTTTTGTCAAAGTATTTTTATTTCAAATACATATTGGTCCAAAATTTGTTTATTGATCATGTATGTTTGTTTGTGATTTCTGCGTATTGTGTCTTGTCCGTAGATTTGTTTGATTTAATTGTGTGGTGCAGCCTCCCTGCACTTACAATATATAGGTTATGGCTATTTAAAGTTTACAGTGGTTTCTATTGATTTCACAACACCATCTTGAAATGTCTTACCAAAATACAATTATAATAATTCTATTTTTTTCATACAAGCCTTCTAATTTTTCCAGACATTTCTTTTTTAATAATCTGATATGCATAGTTGCATAATAACAACAATCTTTACATTAAAATATTCCATATTTTTGACTTTTGAGGTAGGGCTTGTACCTTTAAAGAATATTCAATTAATTAACAAGGCGTAGAATAGATATTTTCTTCTTGAAATTGAGAAGTTTAAAAAAGTATTTTTTTCATTTTCACTCCTATCAATAATGAAGACTGTTTAGAATTTGCAGAGTGCAGTTTTAGTACGAGAATAAATGCTCTGATTTCCAGTTCCATTGATGCAATAAAGAGGTTGATATTTGCAACATACTTATTGTGAAATAAACTTTACACAACGTTTGTGGACGATCGATAGTTCTGGCACCAGAATCAATTATATCTCAGGCTTGTTCTGATTCTATTGAAAATTATCTCTTCGATCCAAATAAACATTAGCATTAGGATTCATTCATGAAAAAATACGATTGATTTGGTTTTGTTCAAGATTTTGATGTAAAATTGAAATGAAGAAAAAAAGGGCACAGATTTTGACAAAAACAAGACTTGGTACTGACCCTGACCTATTTCTCATTGACTGTAAACTAAATCCAACATAACATCTCAATGATCTAATGCAGCAGAATGGGTGGAGTCCTGCTCCAAATTTTAGAAATAGCTTGGTATTGAGATGTCACATCCTGCCTAGGTGACTGTAATCGCCTTGCTTTAACTTCCATGTACTTAAAAATTCAACACGTAAGAGCTAAATATTTCTATCGCAGAAATTTCTGTTGGCCTTAAATGTATGTTCACATGACAGGCCCATAATCAGCTCTCTAGACTATTGGATGGCTGTGATTTTGAATGGATTGAAATACGATTGCCGTTTAATGATTCAATTTTTAAATGGATAATCAAGACTTTGTTTATTATCGTAACACTGGTAGCAATGAAAATCAAGACTATGCTATACTTTAAATAATCAGAATGAAGTAATTTGACTGAAATTTTCAATATATTCATTTTTCATTGTCTATTTTTAAACTATCATGGCAAGAAATGTCCGCTTTTTATCTAAATCTAACATACTGTATCTTTAATGGAAATACTAGGAGACATTTTTGAAATGACAAGTTTTTGGAAGTTGTATGATGATTTAATATTTGTAATATAAACTAACACTAGGAGATATTCTTGGAGATTAGGCTGCCATAGTGGATTAGTAAACAAGGCACACTAACACGGTTGTATAACAGTTTTCCATCCTGGTCCTGGGAATTTCAAGTGTTGTTTCCCTGTATCAGTGGTGCAGGATGACAGGGCTTGGCAAGGACAGTGTCTAGTTGTTTGAATGGGACAAAAACCAAGGTCCTGTGTACACAGTGATGTGCACCTACAGGAACCCTTGAAAGATGGAATTCGTAATAAGAGTAGGCTGTAGTGCCAATCTCATAGCACACTGTATGGCAAAAGCCTGTCTTCATTAGCCCAGTCAGTGTAGAAAAATAGGATATTAAACCCCATTCCATTTCTGTACAGTCATATATTTAGATTAGTTTATTAATAGAATCTGCTAATGTATAAATTAGTGTCAGATTAACTGTGTTAATGAGATTATCATGTTGGTAAACAATAATATCATCATCTTTATTTATTGTTGATATTATAGTCTGTTAGAAGTCTTTATATATTCCTCACTGGTTTGTGAATATTAATGCTTGGTAAGGGGCCCACCTACCAGTAATAATTAATACATTTTATTACTGTCATGTATTCCAACTTATATAGTGGCTTTAGGAATTTAAATATAATACTATACTACTCACTGCAACTTAAAGGCATGGCCTAATTATCATTTTCAAAATAATTATTTTACAAATTTTATGGGATTTTAAAGGGACTATCCCGATTTCAAGAGAGTCTCAAAAATAAAAGTCGGAGTACATATGAAACTTAAGCGCCAAAATATAGAGGAATGGTGTATTTACCTTCTCTCAAAATTCCATCTCAAAATATTGAGTCGTTTGGACGTGAACGTCAAAACTGCTTATCCGGACACGTAACCCTTTTAAGATTTCGGGTCAGTTTTTTCGTTGGGTGACCTGATAATCGATTCCCGTTCCTTGAGAGGTCTATATAGTGAATGACCGATGTGCTCTACTTGATAACGAAAGGTAAATTTCACCTACACATTATTATTAAAAAATAAAAGTCTAGTTTTATCCAGACACTGCACAATACAGCTTGGGACACCGGTCTCCATTTCCAGATGAAGACTGACGGGTTTAAGTTGTTTGAGTTAGTTGCTCGGCCCTTAGCTAGAGGAATTTAAGGGATTTTAACACAAAATTAAGCAGTTTTATTCTCCCAAAAATATCGGGATTAGCCCTTTAAAGTTAAAGTTAGATATGTTTGTAAAATATATTGTTTGTATCACAAAGGGTCTATATTTAATAGTAGAAAAGATTAAAAATGCATTAAAGAACAATATTAGTGTCAGTCATTATTACATATGTAAAGAACATTCCAAATATAATTTTAACACAGAGGTCATACACAATAGTCCATACATTCACTTGTTTTTATTTATTCTATACTTGATAAAAAGATGATAATGCACAGACTTTTTCTAGTTTTCTCGCTTTCTTTTATCTAGTGACTGTCAACTATTTTTTTTTAATTCTAAGATATCCTCCCACAGTCTCATATAACAACTTTTGGTCTTAGAAAGAATTATTACTGAGCAGAAATTTGCCTGTGGATCTCTTATCACTTGTCACTTCAGTTAGTTATATAGAAGGATAACTCATGTTTTCCTTTTGTGTTCGTCACTTGAAATCTTCATAACTCATCTATCGTAGCAATGATCTATTTGTTAAAATTATATTTGGAACGTGTTTAACCAGTTCTCTCACGATAATGACTGACACCAATATTGTCCTTTAAGCTTGTATAATATTTTTCTCCAAATGCTGATTATGAATTTTGATGAATATCGTATTGCTGTATGTCTGTCTACCTAGCTTAGGCTATATTGTTATTGCAACACTCTTATTTTCACTACTAATTACAAATTCTTATAAACAGAAATTTTATGGAATGTCATATCTTCGGAATATAATGTCATTGAGAAATGTTTGTACCGGTATGTATATTGCATTGAAGTTGAAATATGTCTGCAGTGTGCAAATAATAATATTTTTTGTCCTTTTCCAAAAGCTAATTTTGACATTGTTGACTGTAAATGCACAAGTGATTTCCAGGAATTAGAATATGTCATTGAGTAAATCTTCATGAATAGGCCTATTATTGCATTAAAGTTTAAATGCATCTGCAGAGTGTCAGCACAGTGTAAATTATATATATATATATATATATATATCTTACTCTAGGTATATACTATTTATATGTATATATGTAATTGAACGCCATCTTGAATTATTTGTTTAGCTGATGTATAGTCTCTCGTTTTCCTTCACTTAAAGTTGCCTGGGAAAAGGTCGTTACTCTAAAAATAGTAACAAGCTGCCAATAATAGATAGGAAAATGGTGGATGGTTGAGTCCAATATGTTGAGGGGTGTAGGTCAGTGGAGTAAATGAGATTTTTCTACTGTTTATTTCTGTCTGTGTGGAATGATCCATTGATTGATTATAAGATTTGTTTATTTAGATTAGGTGAGCTGTAGCTGAATACAGAATAAGTAAAGGGGAGGTTAGGCCTATATATATATCTATATCTATACATACTATATTGTAGATCTCTGTCTATTATTACTACACATATTTACCTATTGTGAGTTATGAACTCGGCTCTGTAATATGACAGATAGACTCTGTTAATTGGTTAATTAAAGGATTATGGAGTTAAGTTGTTTGTTTATGTGGTTCGCTTTTATAACTTACTTATTATAGTTGAACTATTTTTCTGTGAACTTCTACCTTTTTTGTACTTCCAACTTTTACTGGATCGTTATATCTTTATACAAAAAGATAAAGGAGATGCGGTGGCTCAGTGAATAAGATGCTGTCTTGCTAACCAGGTCTCAGTGACAGAGGTCCTGCCAAGGACAGTGTCTAGTCATTTGGAAGGGACATAAAAGAAAACCATTCTTGTAATAAAGTAATTCTAAATATTTGTATACTTTAAAAAGTCGATTGAAGTCATTATCTGCTAAGATCACCAAATTCATGAAAATATTCCTGAAAATGTTCAAGGAGCTACACCTCTTTGATTCAGGTCATAAAATAAATTGGAGTTGATCAAAGATATTTAGCGGAAGTTAGTTGATCTGATGTTTTATTTAGATTAGAAAGATCAAGGGAAAGTCTATGTTTGTTTACTTATTATATTTTCATTTTTTGGCTAAACTACTGACACTTATATCTAATGGTTGACCTACAATTTTTAACAGAAGACAAAACTGTCATTTCATAAAACAAACTCATAAAGATGGTCGAGGCATATCCTGGTGCATATAATTGGGGCACGCGATAAATAGAAAAAATAAACCCTCTAAAATTAGAGTTGATGTTATGTTTTTAATTCCTATTTTATCAAATCTGTTTTTTTTTCTCTTCTAGATCCTTTAGTTCCTCATGACAGCACAATGGAGATAAATTCTTTCCCACTCATGAGTCGGAAGGCCGACTCGAAAGGTAAGCAATTAAAAGTTTTAGATTATTTTAAATCTGCTGCCATACATCATACATAACTTTATGATACATAAATACATCTTGTTAGACAGATTAAAAAAACTACTTCCTTTCTCAAAAAAACAATAACATTTCAAAATTAAAGGTATGGTTAACTCTTTATCTTATATCGAGCTGGTGACAGTATTTCCTGGTTTTCATTAAACTACAAGCAAGATGTTGCTAGAGTCCTGCCATCCTTCGTTTGCCAGTGGTATTGTTCCGTTCTACTCTACATAGTTAAATTATCCGCCCTGGACAATTGTGGTATTTTTATTGCCCAATAAAATAATTCAATAAATACAAAGCAAAGGGAAGTAACTTGCAATTTATTGCAACTAATTTTGCAATATTGTTGTTGCAAATTCTGTCAAAATATTTTAGGACATCGTCTTGTGTGCAAGCAATCTGATTATAATACAGATCTATATTTCGTTTCGTTTTTTTATACTTTCGATGGCCTCTACTACATGAAGATCTGATTGGTTGTAGTGGAAGGTTGCGTCAGAGGCCATATGAGCGCTTTTGACCCTATGACATCAGACATTTGATTAACCAATCAGTGTTGATGTTTCTAGTAGATTACCCACAGTTCCGAGCACCGCAAGCCAAAAACTCGCAGTAACAGACCGTTTCATTGGCTAATCCCTTACATCATCAAGAACACGGGTTATATAACAACTCTTCCATGTCCTAGTGTAGTAAAGGCAAGTAAACGAAATTTTGAACTATAAAAAACGAAGCGAAATAGGATCTGCTTTTTAATCAGATTGGTGTGCAAGTCACTTCTTGCAAACCTTCTCATAATCGAACGTACAAGCTTCTGTATTGTAGTGAACATAAACAATGATGCTATTTTTTGATTGGTTCATAGAATCAACCTACGTGGCCAATGAAATCATCAAGGGCAGATAATTTGAATTCATGGAAACCCCCTGAATGGACACAGGGCTTAGTGGAATAGAATGGAACAATACCACTGGAGATACCGAGAATGGAGTCTTGCTGACATGTTGAGAAATACACTCTCCTGTTAGCAGATAAATGTAAAAACATTATGAGAAATGACCAGTCAGCCAAGCTGTAAAAATCAAACACAACTTTTATTGATTGTATAATGAAGAGAATTCCCAGATTACCTATTTTATGACAAGTTTTCTGTGTAGAATATTTGTTAATGTATTCTACATCTATCAAGATATGTAAACATATTTCACAGTTAAGGTGTTTGAGAAACAGTCCAAGTTCCCATTGAAACAACTAGCTTTATGTCTTCTGCTGTATGCAAGTCAACCATAATATGTAAACAAACATAATATTTACATTGAAAGTTTCGATTAAAAAATAAATAATATTGAACCAATCCAAAATGATAGCAAATGTAACCCCACTTACTTAGTTTCTTGTTTGAAGGTTGAATTAAACTGTTATCTTTAAAAAAGGTGAATAAATATTAGTTTGATCAACAGTTTTTATATCAGTACGGACCTAAAGATCGACTGCACCTGAGGCCTGATTATGTGAAGTATGGCCTACATTGTCATTGAGTCGTGCAATCAGGATCATTAGATAAGATTAAACTTTATCCAATTAAAAACAATGATATAGCTTATTTATACTCTCAATCTAAAATCTGTTCATATCTGTCTGTTATGGCCATACCTGGGAAAATTTGTGAATGCCATTGTTTTCTATATTTGGTTGGTGAGCTGCAAAGAGGTCTCCTTTATTTTCAAAAGTCAAAAATCACTGTGCTGAAAAAACTCTCTCAATTTAAAGTTTGGACCAATAAGAGATTTTGTTAATAAGGAGAGTTATAATAATAGAGAGAGTCATTCCTTTCATTCATAAGGCAGAGATACTTAAGAGTTCAAGTCTCTATAGTCAACACTAATTCAAAGTAGCATGTGGTTATCATGGGAAGCAATATTAATCTGTAAGGTGCTATAAAAACTCAATCTTCTCAGGCAAGATTCAGATGCTTCAGGGCACTTGAGCTCAATTGAGGGACTTAAAAATTAAAAAAAACTAGTGACTGAAATTAATGCACTCAAGGAAACAATTATTGATGAACATGACATCAGATAACTAGAGTCTGACCATTTTATCTTGAGAATTGACCATTCTCTTCAAATATTTACTAAGTTATTGCCCTTAACTATAAAAATTAAAAAAAAAACATACATGTAATTTCTAATCCCATTAGAGATAAAACTTACTCTGATAGACTTCTTTCTGAAAACGCAGGCAGTAGATAATTTTGACCAATCACAATCTAGTTTTCATCAATAGTTTGATTTAATTTAATAATTCAATGTTAAAATGGATTATCAAGACTTTATATATTATCATAGCAATAGTACTTGACAATAAAGACTCTATGCTACATATTTTCAAAACTTCACACATAATTATAACTTCTCTCAGATTAATGTAATTTGACTGAAATTTTTAATATATTAATTTTTCATTCAAATTTTAAACTATTATAGCAAACACAATCATCTCCTTATCTAAATCTTACATAATGCATCTGGGGGGGTTGGATGGCTGAATGGTTAGCACGTGCGCGGCGCGCTGTATCATAAAGTCTGTCATTGAATCAACTGGCGTGGTTTTGATTCCCCGGTTGTACGTGACAAGGAGAAGGGTCGCCTGTCCAACCCCGTGGGTTTTCTCCAGGTCCTCCAGTTTCCTCCTACTTCTAAAGACCCATACGTGCAAGCGAATTATTGAAATAAAATTGAGCCATATGTTAGTCCTGAAATGACCTAGTTTCTGTCGAGTGGACGTTAAACCCCATTTCTCACTCTCACATAATGCATCTTTAAAGTTAAACACATGAACATAGGAATGTATGGTAAATCATCTATCACTAATAAAATGTGGTTTATTAGATTCATTAGTTTGCTAATTTATATAGTGTATTTTGTATCACTCCAATTAGCTACAAATAGGGATGGGTGTCCTGCATGAGGTTGGATATGCTTACTCTTTATAAGCTAACAAGCTTCCAAGCTTAAGTAAAGTAATACTTAGCTAGCTGATAAATGTTCATGTGGTTTGTACAAAATGTAATTGTGTCATAGAGCAGTATCTTGTGTTGGTTTACTGGGATGCTATAGACGCTTTCTTACATTTGTCTATAACATTCCTGGTATTAGACCTGATATTTACAAAGTTGGCCTAGTTACAGAACTTTGTGATAAATATCTTATGAAGAACTAATCAGATGACCATGAGTTTCTTGTTATTGATTCCCTGATTATTAACTGGAATTAAAAAAGCTCACCCTCACCCCCAATTCCTGATAACAGATTTTTAATGGCACAGACAGACTAGTTTCTATCGCTCCAGTAGAAATTGTCTTTATTTCAACTACAAGTATTGGTCTGGACAATGGAACATCCATTGTATATGGTAACTGATTGACTGTTTACCTGTGCTGTTCAAGCAATGACTTATGGTAAATATTATTTCAAACCATTAGTAAACAATGCATTATGCATACTTCAAGTGCAAGGTAAATGTGTGACATTTTGAAATGTCTGTGTCACATGATTTTAGGGCTGTAAATATTGTTTTATTTTAGGTCTTCCTCAATCTGTATAACTGTATTGTAATTTTTGTTTGGTATTTTGTAACAAATCATCTTTCAATTCCAATATTCCATTTATAAAATCTTTAAATACGTACAGAATCGTTCTAATTGATCTAATATAAATATTGTTTATGTCCTGGAATGGATTTCACAATATAATACAATACATATTTCATCTGACTGTATCACGGTATATTACAATACATATTTCATCTGACTGTATCACGGTATAATACAATACATATTTCATCTGACTGTATCACAATATAATACAATACATATTTCATCTGACTGTATCACGGTATATTACAATACATATTTCATCTGACTGTATCACGGTATAATACAATACATATTTCATCTGACTGTATCACAATATAATACAATACATATTTCATCTGACTGTATCACGGTATATTACAATACATATTTGATCTGACTGTATCACGGTATAATACAATACATATTTCATCTGACTGTATCACGGTATATTACAATACAATTCTCGCAATACCAAGCCTAAACTTGATATTATGTAAGCTTTGAACACTATTTTGTCCAGACCATTATATAATTAGTAGCAATAGAATTTAGGGTGGAGTGATCAAGACTTACTTATTACATATCAGCCTCTAATCATTCGAATATCTCAAATTTTTGTTTAAAAACAATTCATTAAGGAAAGAGATATAAACTCTGTGTTGTCAACTTCTCAGATCACTTTGAACAAACGCTCATAAAAGGAAGAGAAAGTTGTATAACCTTTTAAAATGCTTATTATATCTTTCAATAATAAAAAAAGGATCTGTAGTTCTAGTTGTATAAATTTTTTAATTGATATAAAAAACCTTTTAGTCTTTTCATTTATAAAAAAAAGAAAGATAGATATCTTTATCTTTTGAATGGTATGGGAAAATGTCATTGACACTATTTGTAATGGTGCATAGGAATGATCAATAGGCCTGATTTATATTTTCGTCCGTCGGAGCATAACAGCAGGATGTTAAAAACTATTTCATTTCATTATATTTTCGTCAGTTTAGTTACTAAATATAAATTACAAGAAATATTATCAGCTATGTAAAACAAAACTAAATGGTATCAGGTGTTAATATAAAGAGTATCCTGCCAATGTCTGTAACAGGTACCTGATTTCCAGGATAAAAATGTTGGGACACAAATCATTTAGTACCTATTTAACTTTGTGCCTGACATGTATCAAGTATTTATAATTAAATACACTGATAAAAAGAGAAATCTGTGTTTTGTGATAATTTATACCTGACAATGTTTGTGCCAGGTGCCTCATTTCCAGGCTTGTTGTCCCATGAGATGTTCTTGATGAATTACCAATTCTAAATAT